AAATATTGTTAAAAAATTAAGTTTTAAGATTACAGCAACTTTTATATTGGTAGTTATTATACTAAAAATACTAATATTTTAGCTAAAAGTCTTAATAAATAAAGATTTTAAAAATAATTTTTTTAATAATAATATAATATATATTTTTTATATTTTTTAAAGAATTAATATAAATACTACAGGTGCTTTTTAAACTTACCGAAAAAAATAAAGTTGTTAATATAAATATAAAAAAGAAATTTTATTTTTTAAAAAAATTCTTTACTTGGTATTGTATATAAGAAATTAAATTTAAATAGTCTATAAAGCAAATCCTTGGAAATTTTTATTTTTAGTATATAATAACTCTAGTAAACTGCCAGCTATCTAGATATATTAGCTATCAATAGAATATTTTAATTATATTAAATACTAAAAAATAGGCTGTACTAATAAGTACTATAATAATATCTATCTATATTAAAACTAGATAGATATTTAGAATTACTAATATATTTAAGGCTTAAATAATAATAACTAAATAAAGTTTTAGTAATTTCCAGCCTATATTATTAATAATAATTTTTATAACTATAAAAACTAAAGCATCTAATATTATAAAATTCTTTAAATATTCTATAAAGTTTATTTTTAAAAGTTTATTAAAAATATTGTTAACTGCCTTTTAATATATTAAACTAAGCTTATAGATCTTTACTATTTTATCCAGTTTATTTTTCTATTTTTTATATAATAAAATACAGAGCTAGTAGTAAATTAGTATTTTAACTATATTTTTATTAGTCTAGATCTTAAAGAACTTTTATACTAGATTTCTAAATTTATACTATTATTTAAATATTTTATAAACTATAATACTAATATTTAACTTTTTTATTATTTTAAAATTAATATTAAACTTATTATTAAATCTAAGCTTATTTTATATTTCTAGTACAACTGTAGTTAGATTTTTAAATAAGTTTTATAATTCTAAAGTTGTATAGTAGACTACAGTTGTATTAAATTTAAAAATATAATTAAATCTAGTATAGTACTTAATAATAATTAGCTAAAAAATAAATTTGTTGCTATTATACTTACAAAGTTTATATCTATAATATAAATAAAAAAAATTATATCTATAAATTATTTTAGTTTAAAAATATAATTATAATTTTTTATTAAGTTAAGTAGATAAATTAGAAGTACAACTTTACTATATATAAAAATAATAATTTTTTTAATAAATACTAGGCGTATTTGGCGGTAGTCTGGCTTAGGGGTAATTATTAAAAAAAATTACTTTTTAATAATATACTACTTTAATAAAATAATTTTTAAAATTAATTTTAAATCTATACAGTCCTAGGGTATTGCAGCTAATAAAAAAATAGACTTTTAAATCTTAGATTAAATATATATTTATATATATATAAATAAAAACTAACTTATTCTTAACTTTAGCAGAGATTAAAATAAAAACTATAATATATCTTATACTATTAAATTTTTATTTAACACTTTAGATATATACTAGTTTAGTAGTATTTATTACTTTTAAAAAAAATTAGTAGTAAGCTAGTATTTATTAATTATAACTATTATATATATTAAATCTAAGTATATAGTATCTGTTTTATTATTAATACAAATTTTAACTGTAGTATATTTTTAGTTTTTGAAAAATTTACTAAGTTTTAGTACCTTAAGAAATTTATCTATTTTAATAATAAAAATATCTATATTTATATAAGATATACAAGATTTACAATTTGCAATATATATATATAGTATATTATTAAAAATAAAAGATATTAAACAGTCTAAATATTAGGGGTTAAATATATTATATTATTTATAATAATTAAAAGTATTATTAATTTTATAATAGTTATTAAAATAATAAATTTTATTTTTATTATATCTCTAAATATTTTGGGCTCTGTTATATGTATAGTCTACCTAGCTATATTAAAAATATCTGCTATAAATAGAATTACTATTACTATTAATACTAGTTTTATTATAATATATTTTTAGGATTTGTTTTTATTACAGTCTTAACAGTCACAGCTATAACAGCAGTTATATTTTTAATTATTATATTAATTATTATATTAATTTTTACAGTTGTTTTTATAATTATATTTATATTAATAATTATTATTATAGTAAATATTGCAGTTATTATATTTATTATTATAGTAGTTCTTTTAGTAATTATTACAGTAATTATTTCAGCAATAATTATAGTAGTTTTTAAATAGCCTATATAAATCTATTCTACAGGATTTGCAACAGTAACAGATGCTGTTCCAGTTATTAAAACCTTAGTTATAGTAATTATAGTTCTAATAATTATAAGTATTCTTATAAAAACAATTCTTTTAGGTCTTATTTTTTATACTTAGATTATACTTATCCTTTTATATAGTAAAGCAGGAATTTATTCTATTACCAAATTCTTTAAATATAGTATCTTATTTAGATTTTTTATTATTTTTATAAAGTTTAGGGTTAATATAATACTATATATTAATTATAATATTATATTTATTTAATATACTATATATTTTTGCCAAACTAATAATTTTAGAAATATATACTATTAAAAATTAGTTAAAATAAATATTTTATACTATATATCTGCAGTTGTTAAATTATTTTTAAAGTTAACTATCCAAAACTTTCTAGTACACCTTAATTATAGTTATTTAATAATTAATATTTTTAAAATTAATTAAACTAATTTAATAAATCTTATTAATTTACTGTATCTACTATGCAATAGTATTACTGCAGAAAAATATATTTATATTTTAACTTATAATTATAATTTTTCTAATAAATAATATAATGTAAAGTTGTTAGTAGAATATTTAGATAGTATAGTAGTATATTTTTCTATTTTACTCTACTAAATCTAAATATCCCCAGCTGGATAATATATTTAAAAAGAAGTAACTAATATTTAATATATACTACTATATATTATTAATAACTTAAGGGCTATTTTAAAATCTATTATATACTTATTTTTTATTATTATTATTATTATTATTATTATTCTTATAAACTGGAGGTAGTAGAGGCGGTAGAAAAAAAAGTAGTACTATATTCTACTAAGCTTTATATTATTAATAATATTACTTTTATATTTTCAGTATATCTACTATTACTTAAGCTATTATTTTTTTAACTATATTTTCTAAGTATTATTTATCAGCTTAGCTATAGTTTATATAGTACTGTTACAAGTATTGTTTAAAAATTAACTTATATAGATATATTAAAATATAGAATATCAGTCTAAGTACCTTTATTAATATACATATAAAATATTTATATAAAGAAATTATAATATTAAGTTGGCAACTGTATAGGTACTATTAGTAAGTTAACTAATACTTTATATAAAAATAGATTTAGTAATTTAATTTTATTAAAAAGTTAAACTGGTTTAGGATGTCAAACTGGTTTAGAATATTAAACTTAAGAAGAAATAAAAGAAATAGGTATTTTAATAAATATATTAAAAATATTCAGATTAGCTAGGGGTGGTGTTTTTAACTTAAAAAAAGTTAAAAACATATTTATTTATAAAAGAATATCAGCCTCTGCTTTAGCAAAGGGAGTAGATATTAGTATAGAAATAAAAAAATTAATAGTAAAATAATATTTTTAAATTTTCTTATTACTGCTTTAAATATTTTTTTATTATTTTATTTAACAGAATATATATACTTAGATTTAGAATTACTGCGTAAAAAAAACTAGCTTGCAATTATTTATACAGCAGTTAAAATACCTATAGCAATATTTATTTTTCTATAACTAGTTTTAATAAAATAAAATATATAGTAGATAGTTAAAATAATATTTTTTAAATATATTAATATACAGAAGAGTACAGCAGTATATAACTGTTAAAAAAGTAAATATATAATAATATAGAACTAGGATTATAGTTAGTTATATAATCTATATATAAGCCTGTCTATACTATTAGTAGTAATAATTAGTTGGGTCCCTATAAAATAGTATTAAAAAGTATTAGATATTAAAAATTTAATAAGTAAATAATAAAGAAAGATTAATAATATACTTTCGAATAAGCAGAAAAATAAGTGTTTAGATAAAAAAAAATAAGTAGCTAAAAAAAAGCTGGAAGGTGTTTAGTAGTACTGTAGATATCCCACTAATAAAATACTTATTCAGATAAATAAACTAACTTAAAAATACTTTCTTAATAATTTATTAAATTATCTGATTTTTAGATAAACTAAGAATTGTTACTGGGATATGCTATTAGTATTGCCAATTAAAGGCTTAAAAAAATAATAATTTATAAAATAGATGCTTAATTTTTTAAACTTTAATATCTCAACGGCTATTTACATTCTCTCGCCTGAGCGGTAAGGGGTGGCAGAATGCCCGCTTGTTATAGCAGTCTTGCCATGGCGAACTCTGCATGCAACATATATTATTTTTTTCCAAATACGGAGCTGGTTTTCAGAAATAGTATAATTATTTTAAAGTAATTTTTAAATATTAGGATTTTTAAATTTAAAGTAGTTATATAAATTATATTACTATACCAGCTAATTAGTTTAACCTTTTAATTTTAGTATAATTTTAGAAATATTAATATTAAATAGATTTTTAGTTTTTACTATAGTATGATATATAGCCACACTGCTCGCGTGGTAAAAGTATATAGTTAATTAATTTATAAATTAGTAGATACTGGGTTTAGTTACTAAGCCGGCTAGAATACCTTAAAAACTTTTCTACTTTATAAAATATAAAACCTATAGATTTAAAGTATAAAAAGCTGTTAACATTAGAAATATTAGTATAAGTAAAAATATTTTAATAAAAAATAATAGAAAAAGCTATTTTTAATATAAAATATAGCTACAAGGGCTTATAACCTGTAACAGCTAATATATATATCATTATATATATATCTAGCTATATACTGTGTTGGCGGTGGAAGTGGTAAGGTCCAAGATCACATGACCCCAGATATCTCTTATAGTATAGGTACTAGGGCTGTATATATATTTACATAGTCTATTATATCAAGAGTTAAAATATTTAACTTTATATTAATTAATGAATACAGGATTAAAAACTGGAAAGGTAGAAGAATAAGAAGTAAATTTATATAAATATTTATTAGCTGAAAAAGTACTAAAAATAATATACTTTAAAGTTTAAGGTTTAACTTTTTTAACATCTTTATATTTAGATATTTCAAAGCTGATATTTATTAGGTTAACTAATTTGTTTGTAAATGTAGTAATAGGACTTAGTATAGGGAGTTTTAGTATAGTAAGCTTAGTTAAATAAAGATTTAGTATTAGTGTGATCCAAAATAATAAAACTAATATTAAAGATAATAAAAATATATTTATTAATAAATAAAAGTATACATATTGCAAAGAATATCATAGTTTAATAAAATTAGCCGGCAAGTTCTAGAAGTAACTATTAGTTAGCTAAACTATAAATAGATTAAAACTAATAAGGGACTTGGTATATAAAAAAAATACAGATATTTTTATTTAAAATAAGCTTATTAAGATCCTATAGAGAATATATATAGTTTTTTATAAAAAAATATAATTAATATAATAAAAGTAATAAAGTAAGCTTGAAGAAAATAGTACTATTAAGCTGATTTTAAAAAATATAAACATTACTGTTAAATTAAAATACTTAATAATTTAGTAAACAAATTTAGATAATATTAATACTACTAAATAAATAAATATATAAATAAGCCACCACATAAATATTTTAAACTACTCTAAACTAATAAAATTTTAACTATAATATAAAAATAAAAATGTATAAATAAAAAAGGCAGAAATAGGTGGTAAAAGATTATTAATAAAAATAATTATAATACTAATTAGTACAGAAGCTAAGAATATAAGTAATATAAAATATAAATTATAGTAATATAAGATTTAGTAAGGTTAATTGATATATAAAATTACTTGAATAAATTATAAAACAGGGCTAGAGCTAAGTGGGGCAGGTAATCTATAAATAAATATAGGTATAAATAATAAAATATAAAAATTTAAAATACAGCCGGAGGGAACCTTAAGATGCAGAAATATAAAAATTAATTAATATAGTAATCTAGTAATTGAAAATAAGAAAGAAAGTATATTAAGATAAATAGTATATCTGCAGAGGCGACTTTCTGAACTGTTTTAAAATAGGGATATACTACTATATAATATGGTTTAATAAAGTAAGGTATAATTGGATTAATAATAATAAAGTTGTTAAGAAGAAAGTTTAGGAAGTTGACCAAGCTGAAGAATACCTGCAAGGCGGGAGCCAACGGCAGAATATTGATAATGTCGAAATCCACAACATAAAGGCTTTTATTATATAACTAATTCTAGTAGTAACAATCAATTAAAAGGCTTTATCTAGTATGTTAAATAAAATAATTGATTAAGAATTTTTAAATATAGTATATGTATTTTTATTTAGCTTACAGATAATAATAGTAGTTAACTAATATAAATATTAAGTATAATAATTTATATTTAGATATATATAAAAAACTTTTTAATTACCTCTTTATAAAAGAAAAGGTCTATTAAAAAGCTAGATTAAACAGCTTATTAAAGCTAACAGCCCTTTTAAATATAGTATATTAAATTATATAATATAATTTTTTTAAAGTTATTTAAAGTACTTTATATAACTTAAAAAAGGTAAAGCTGTTATATTAGTAAAGTTAACTATACTAACAGCTAAAAATAAAATCTACTAAAAAAGTTTAGTTTTAATTTTAAGTTTTTTAATTAATTTTTTATTTATTAATTATAGTATACATATAAATATAAACTGTAGATTTTTATATATTTATATTTTTAAAATTAGTTAAAGATTTTTCTATAAAGTACTTTTTATTTTTTTTAATATAGTTATTTTTTATATTTAGTAGTTTATCAATAAAGTATATTATAGGCTTAGCTGTAGATCTTATAGTTTATATAGTAATTTATTTTAATCTACTATTTTAATCTACTATATATAGTACTTTAAGTTTTTTATTTTTTTAGTATAGCTAATGTGATATACGCGTATCGCGGATAATAAAATATAGGGAAATTGTCTTATTCTAAGAAGGCCGGAAGGCTGAGAGGCTAAGTACATCATCTACAGTAAACTATATAAACTATTAATACAGCTGATATAAAAAGATACAAGTATTTTAATATATTCAAGTCTGCAGACAGCAGTTATAATTATTTTTAGTAGAAAAATATATTATTCTTAATACTATATATATATAAGTAGAAATATATAATAATATTAAATATACTAAAAATATATAAAAGATATAAAGCAGAAAATATAAAATACAGATAAATATATAGAAATTAATAAAAATAAAAAATATAAAGTGATAAAAAAATAGTTAATCAGTTAATTAATACCCTTTTTAAATATCTAAATAAAATTAGATAAATTAAAATTTTATTTATATATCTATTTATTATATTCTAGGCTATATCTAAGCCAGTAAACTAAATACTTAGTATATATAAAATCTTACCTGTAGTAATATATACATTTATTAAAAATATATTTAATTTTCTACTAGTCTTCAGCTTTATTAACTGCAGGTAGTTTAGGTAGTTAACAGCTAAATAGATTAATATTTTAAAAAATAGATTCCAGTTGCAATACTAATACAACCAGATAAATTTTAAATATATTAGATAATATAAAATAGTATATATAATATTTAATATATTTATTAATATTAAAAAAACTAAAAAACTAATATTTTAGCTTATATAAAATATTTTTAGCAGTAGGCAAGCTGTATTTTTTATACAGTTTTAAATATACTTTATTACCTATATTAAAGTATATAAATTTATATCTAATACTGAATTTATACTTTATATCGACTACAGTATATTTAATAGTATTTTTTATATTAAAATATACAGATATAAAGTTTTAATATATTTAAATTAATATAAGTAATTTTAATAAACTAAGTAGTTAACTAAGCTTTATACTGTATATAACCTTATATAGTATATAACCTATTAAAAAATATAAAATTTTATAATTATAAAATTTAGAATAGTTTTTTAATAGTAGTATAACACAGTATACCTTTTAAAAACTAAATTATATATTTTAAACTTTTATTTGTTTAAAAATAATAGGTAGTACTAAATAGCTACTGGTACTTTAAGCCCTTAAAAAACTATAAAGTATATTAGTAATAAATCATTAGTTTTAATTAAAAATTTATATATAAAATACACTCTAATTATAGGCTTATAAATATATAAAAATTATTTTTTTTTATTCTAGTACTTTTCAATTTGCTCTGCCTAGAATATATTTTATTCTTTTTTATAAATTTATCTACTAAAATAAGCAATTAATTATATTTATTATATAAAAAAAATTAGTAATAAAATTAAGAGTAATAGTATAAAATAAAATACATAGTAGAATAATAGGCTGTAAGTTACTATATACTTTATACTTAGAAACTTAATATAGGCAATAATTAGAATAGTAATATATATAAATATATAAAAAATATTAATAATAGTAAAATATTAAGTTTTTTAAAGTATTAAAATACTTTTCTAGGCCTTGGTAATATTAATTATTATATACTATATAAAAAATATTTTAAACTAGACTGTATAGTAAATATAGCCAAGGTTTTTTAGTTATTATTGTATTAGAATATATAATATTTTTGTTATTATTAATACTATATACAATATAATTTAATATATATAAAAAACTATTATATTTAATATAAAAAAGAACAGCTGGGTTTACAGATTTAGTATTACTGTAGAGTATACTTAGAATTTTATATATATAAAAATTAAAAATATATTTATAGTATATATAGTTTTTAAATTTTTTAGATATATATAGTAATATAATAAATAATTACTTAAATATATAAGCAGTAAATACTTTAACAGGATTAAATATTTTAATATCTTTATTTTTAATATTAAAAATAAATATGTTTTCTATACAATTATTAAGATTAATATTATACAGTAGAAAATTATTTTTTTTTAAAAAGATAAAACAGAATATCTGTTATAGTATTTATAATATTAGATCTGTAATATATATATAAAGTAAATCACTAAATATATTAAAAAATATAAATAAAATATAGATATAACTTTTTAACTGTAATAGTTCTATATAAAAATATAGTATTATAAATACAGATTTCTATAGTTAATATATAATTAATAAAAATAATAGGCAGCGTGGATATAGATTTAATTATTTAATATAGTTTATAAATTATTTATATAAAATAGGCAACTTTTATTTTTATAGGCTAATAGTAAGTCTCTACAGGGTATAGAAGATGACTTATAAAAAAATAGATTATACTTTAGTATAAAAAAATAAAAGTAGTTTATTATCTGGGGTAATAATATACTTAAAAATATAATATACTATAATACTATAGCCCTTTTAAATATATTAAAATTAATATATTACTATTTATTAAAATTAAAATAAGTAAAAATATAAAAATATAAAAATTAGAAAAATTATATTAAAGTACTTTAGAAGTATTAAGTTTATTTTTAGTAGGCTTAACCGGTATACAGGCAGAGTAGTTTTTTTTAAAATATTTTTTAATAAAACTATTTTTAATAGAAATATTTTTTATTATTACAGCAGGGCTGCTTTTTATATATATCAATATATCTAATATTAAAAGCAACTAGTAAGTCTAAGATAATACTTTAATTTAATAAAAATATAAAAAAATAATAGTATATACAGTACAGTAAGTTTTAATTTAGATATAATAAGTTTTAAAATATTAACTTATAGGCTAAGTACTTTTACTAATAAAAATATAAAAAATATTTTTTTCAGCTTAATATTTAAATTAATTAATTTTATATATTTAAAAATCTTATATAAATAGTACAGATAACTATTAAAATTAACTTTGTTTTTTTTATTTACTATTATTAATAATAGTATAAAACATTGTAAATACAGTAATAAAATTATTAATATATATTTTAGTATGTACTAGATTCTGTAAAAATAACTCTATATTATATTAAATATAAAAAATACTGTTAAAATATTTTATAATAATAATATCAAAAAATTTTTAATTTTAATAACTTAAAATAGTAAAATACTTTTAATATTTTATATTAAATAGGCTATTAGTAAAATATTTTAGTATTATTAACTATAGGAATATATTAACAGTAATAAATAAGCTTAAATATATTTTTTAATATAAAATAAAATAAATATTTTAAATAGCTTTAGTATTGGTATTTTTCAAATTAATAATTATATAGTTTTTATATTTATACTTACTGTTTTTCTTCCAGATATTTTTTTATATCATAAAAACAGAATAGCTAAATAGTATATAAGATTTAGCAAATTCCAGCTTATCTTAATTTTATAGAAATTTAAATATATTGTCTATTATTTTTTATTTTAAAAACTAATATAATATATATATATCTTAGGAATATAGTTTTTTTACTATTATATAAAAATATTTATATATTTTTTAGATAGATTAACTGTACTAATATTACTTCTGTTAGGCAGTACCTAAATATTATAGCTATTAACTATTTAAATTAATTAGTTAACTATATTTTTTTTACTACAGTTGTATATAATTATTCTATTTAGTAGAATAATAATATTATTAGTATTAAATATAATAAAAATACTAGACCAGTAGTATCTTAGTATAGAGTATAAAAAATATTCTTTAGTATAGTAATATTAGCTATTATAGTAGATATATCTGCTAGATCCCTATTAATATAATAGTAATATTTAAAATTAACAATATTAACAACTATTCTACAGCTAAATATTATTTTATTTTAAATATAAGTATATTCTGTATAGTCGGGGCTAATATAGTATACTATAATAAATTTACTGTTAAATAGTATATTTAAATAAGTATAGCAGATTAAAATAATTAGTTTAAATATTGTATTAAATATTTTATTAAAAAAATTATAGTTTATTAGATATATATATAAAACAATATTTCTAGTAGATATAGTAGCTATAAAATTAAAAATAAAATTTTAAAAAAAATCTTAAATATTTTAATTGTAATAAAAATATAGATATTTATATACAGTAGTACAACTGTATATTTTTAAAATACTATATATACTTTAATATACTTTATAGCTTTATATTAGAATATAAAAACAAAGTCTTAATATAAGTATAATATATATATACTATACTTAAAATTAGAAACTATTTTTTTAAACCATTATATTATTTTTTATGTCTAGTTTTTATACCAGGTACTACCTGGGCTTAAACAGTAATACTAGTAAATAAAAATTATTTAAATTAAAAGTTAAATTGAAAAAAAATTAATTTAAAATATTATATAGTTTATAGTATAGTAGCTAAAACTAAGGCCTTTAATATTTAATAACTTATATAATAGTTAAATATTAACTGTAGTTAATTTAATAAAATTTTTACTAATAATAGTAGCTAAGCAGCTGGAGTTAATATATATATTATATAATATATTAGTATAATTAATTCTAATACTGGCAGTTACAGAGTACAAATTATATAAAAATATAAAATAGTTAAAACTATATACTAGTTTAGCTAAAAATTTTAAGAATTTAATAATATTAAATACTGCAGATATAAATATAACAGTTGTAATTAAATACAGTATATTTTTATAGAAAAAATATTTATAAAATTATTTATTTAATATAAATTTAATATTATAATTATTATAATATAATAATAGGGTCTTGTATTTAAAACACCTTTTTAAAACTAATTAACTAAATATTTTTATTAATATTTATATTAGAGCTAAAAGATAAGGTAGAATTACCTTAAGTAATATATACTTAGCTGTTATATAAAAAATAATTAAAATATAGCTAATTATAAAATAAATTATATAATGAAAAAATATAGTCAGCTTAGTAAAATGTATAAAATATAAATAGTAGATTTATTAACAGCAGCAGCTGTATCTAATTACTAAAAGTAATATTAATACTATATATATATTAAAAAATCTTTTATTTTAATAATTTTATAACTAATAATTATTACTATTCTAAAAGAAATAATTTTATAATTAATATTAATTCTAATTTTAACTTATATTAGTTCTATTTCTATTAGAATAAAGTTTTTTAGTAGATTATAGTTAAAAAATAATTAATATTAGGGTAGTATTAACTAATATAAATTGTACTGGTTTTAAAAATACTATAGTTTAAAATACTAGTTAATAGTATTTACTATATATAATATATTTTAAGGTCTATTAAATATACAGAATATATTTATTTAGCTATATTTATATTTATTATAGGGGGTTTAAAAATAGGAATTCCAGCTGTATTATAGTTAACTATCTTTATTTTGTTCATTATAGTAATTAAACTATTTTTTATTATTATAATAATTTTTTTTATTACTATATTTTTATTATAGTATTTATTGTAATTTGTTCTACAGCTATTATATTTAGCAACTTTATTTTACTATTAGAATATTTAATACTTAAAATACTATGGAAATATTAATAATATAGTATATTTTTTAGGCTTAGGTATATTATTCTACAGGTTAGGATTAAGATGTTTTTATATTATATATAATTAATTATATATATTATTAATATAGATGGACTAAATATATAGCAAGATTTTTTATATAAATATATTAACTAATTAGTTAGTATAAATATTCTTATATAAATATATAATACTATTAAAATAATAAATAGTATTATATATATTAAAACAGAATTAATATAGCAGCTTATAAAACCAACTGTTTTTTAAACTAAATATATAAATTAAATATTTTTTATAATTAGTAACTTTAAACTAGTACTATTATAATATAGTATTAATAAAATATATCTGGATATTTGCTTTAATAGTAGCGTTGCCTTTATAATTAATAATATTATAAAAATAGTTAATAAAAAGATATATATTCTAATAATATAATTTTTTATTATTTTGATTTTTATAGTAACTAGTAATTAGATTATTAAAAGGGCAGTTAGACTAGAAATAGCTAATTTTATTAGTTATCTACTAATATAAATACTTTAAAAAGTTAGGTATAGAACCTTAACTATTATATTTAGTATTATATTTAAAATTAAAAAGATTTTAATTTTAACTATTTTAATTTTAATAATATTAATTATTACTGCTACAGTCACTGCTATAGCCATTTTAATATTAATTATTTTAAAAAAAATAGTAGATTATTATTATTTTTATTATTTAAGCTAGAATTATTAGGATTATTACTAAATTAATATAAATAATATTTTTTATTTTTAATATTTTAATATCTGTTAGTTTATTATTTTTTGCTTTTAATATCTTAACATCTAATATTACTAATATTACTAATATTTTAATATTTTTTATTAGTCTTTAAATATCTTATATTTTATAGTAGAAAAGAATTTTTATAACAGCAACTATTAGTACTAATACTAAAATATTTATTAATATAATTTATAGTACTATTTTTATTATAATATCTATCAATATTAGTAAAGTAGGTATTAATTTAGTTTAATAACTAAAAATTAAAGTATATAAATTATTTTATATAATAATATTAATAGGTTTTTTACTACTACCAGACAGTTGGGCTACTAAACTAATAGACAGTCCCTTATTAGGATTAAACTTAGTATTTATTATTTTAAAAAGATTAATATTTCTAATTTTAGTACAGCAGTAGTATATAATTATAATAGGTATAGTAAATAATTTTTATATAAAATTAAATAAATTAAACTAGCCGGGTATATTAAAAGTAATAAAATATTTAAAGTTAAATTAATCTAAATTAGTAATTAATACAGTACTTGCAACTAATATAAAATATATATATTTTAAAAAATTTAAAAACTTACTTTTAAGTAAGTATCTAATTTTTATTAGTTTTGCTATATATAATAATTAGATAGATTTAATATATAATATACTAGATATAAAAATTTATAAACAGCCCTGCTTAGAAACGGGCAGTTAATAAACTAATTTAGCAGCTATTAAAAATTATAATTCTAAAGTAGATTAATAGTATACAGTTATATATATTTATATACTACAGAGTATTATTACTAAGTTAATATATAAATTTATACTATATATATAACTAAAAATTCTATAACTAATATACCAACTCTATAAAATATTTTTATTTATTTAAAAAAACAAATACAGATATTTTTTTAGTTAATAAATTAGTCGACTCTATACTTATTTAAAATATTTTTTAAAAATTAAAAAAAATTATCTGTAAATAGTAAAAATAATTTAGTATAGTTAATAAAATAATACTGCTTTTTCTAATAATATTTTAATAATATATAGATTAATTAACTAAACAGCTGTTATATATAATATATAGAAAATTATTATAAGTAATAAAAAAATAAGATTTTAAAAATACTAAAATAATAATTTTTTAGTATTTTTATAATAGATAAAAGTTCCAATACAGTTAAGCACTCAACACGGTTAAAATAACAGATAAAAAAGTTATATTTAAAAAATAAAACTAAATAAAATTTACTAAAATTATTTTTTATTTTTAATAAAAAAAAGTATTAGCAGATATAAAAATAGAAGGTACTATTATAGGCTTAGAAGTATTTAAACAAATAAATATTAAATATAAAGAAAATAAGCAACTAGTTTTTTAATAAGGCCTAAAACTAATATATTTTAATATACTTTTGTATATTACAAAGCAGAAATATATAAAGTATAATATTAAAAAATAAAAAATTATAATT